TATATATATATATATATATATATATATATATATATATATATATATATATAAAATATAAAAAAAGTTGGTGTGGTCCATATGATGGGTACAGTGCTCGAATTACCTTACTAATCAAGCAACCTCCTAATTCCTTTCTCTCTTAAATGAAAAATTAAAAAAGAATTTGAATAGCAAAAGGATCATGATCGCATCTCCAGCTTGATGCCCATGAGAGTTCTTGTCAAATTTTTTTATTATTATTAAAATCTCACCTTGATATATATATATTTTTCTTATCATTTCCTTCTCAATCCTGTTTATATTCAAAATCAATTGTGTGTGGTTTATCTATATTTGGTCACATGTTTGCGTAAGATAGATTTCAACAGGTACCATATATATATATATATGTGTGTGTGTGTGTGTGTGTGTGTGTGTGTGTGTGTATGCATTTTTATGTGTTACATAAAAGTGTGATAAAATCATATAAAAATCAAAACTTTCTTCAACATGTGAATGACTTCTTAATTTTAATTTGACAAAAAAAAAAAATTCGTGCGTATATATATGTTATACGTAATGTAAGAGGTACTCTATAAAGAAAAAAAAGAACTTAGTAGGTATACCCCACCTGCATAGTGCGCGGACCCACAGTCATATATGTATATCAAATGTATATATACATGAATGGTGGTTTATATATATATACACGTACATATATATATATAGTGACACGTATATGTACATAGATGTGTGAACATATCTAAAGACTTTAGGGGTGTCAATTAGGTCGTCCGATTTTGTTCAGACATATATAATCAAGTCCGAAGCCCGATTTATATATTTCGGACTCGGATCGAACTCGAATCGATCCGCTCAAATTGTTTTCTATTTTTTTTCTTTTTTTATTAATTTTAAAAAATGAATTTTCAAATCGGTTCGAAACCGATTTAAACCCGATCCGGAAATTCAATTTTTTAGGACAAAAAAATTTAGACTCGAAATCCACTATTTGTCGGGGTTGGATCCGGACCAAAATTCGGGCATCAACCTAAATTGAAAGTAAGGGTTTTTACGTACTTTTTTTTTTCGTGTGATATATGTAAAATAATATAATCTTATTATAATTACAAGTTTGTGAGTGTGACAGAAACCGCCTCAGGGAGTGAGAGCGGCTTATTAAATCAGCAAAGGCATAAAGGCGGTCAGTGTATGGTTTCAGGCTCTCCTTTTCCTTTTTCTCGCTTCCTTCTTCAGTTAAAGTTGAGAGAGAGAATTCCAAAAGCTTATGCCTATTAATCTATCGCTTCACATCAAACTCTGACAGTTTCTTCTTCCATCTTCTTCCTCTTCTTGTTCTTGTCTGGTTCTTGATCTGGATTCCCTCTCTCTCTCTCTCTCTCTCTCTCTCTCTCTCTCTCTCTACTGTCATATGTTTTATCTTGATTTCAGTGTGTCATGAGATCTTATTGAATTAATCAAGTTTGTTCTTTTAGCATATTTTGAGGCTTTTTTTTTTCTTCCTCAAAACCCATCATTTCTCTTTCTTCCTGCATGTCGTGTTCTTGTCTCCTCTAGATTTCAGAACCCTCTTTTGTCCTTGTCTCATCAGATGGTTCACGCTATATAGAGAGAAGAAGAAGAGAGGCTGGTTTCGTATTTTCCACTCGGATATGATCAGAAGAAGGGCTTTGCTATCGCCACCGAAATCCAGACCAAGAGCTCGTCGCGCGCTTATTCAGCCACAAGGGATAACATACATATATATATCTTTCAGAAAATCAACCAAATCAATTGGGGGATTTTTTGTGAAGAGAGAGAACCCATGAACAAGAGCAATCCGGGTTCGGTCGCCGGGTCGGATCTGATCGACTCCAAGATAGAGGAACACCAGCTTTGTGGATCCATGAAGTGCCCTAGTTGCGGCCACAAGCTCGATGGCAAACCGGTAATATTCCTTTTTTTCTCTCTTTTAAATTAAATTTAAACGCGCACATAAACACATATAGAAGAATTTCGCTTTCTTTTTCATTTTAGGTCACCAAAGAAAACATTTATTTATAAAAAAAAAAAAGAGGAAAAAGGATAAAAGAATCAATGAAGAACATCAAGAATGATGCTCGCTGTTTTATTCTCTCGCGAAGTAGAAATTCAAATCCAAATTTAAAAGCGTCTATATGCGTACTCACATATATATATTCCTCTTCCTCTTCCTCTTCCTTTTTTTTTTTTTTTGCTTCTTTTATATCTTAATTACCCTTTTTCTCTTTTTCTTTTTTTTTTCCTGATGTGGGAATATCAAATTTGAGAGGTATCAGGATTGGGTTGGTTTACCGGCTGGGGTGAAATTTGACCCGACGGATCAAGAACTGATAGAACATCTCGAGGCCAAAGTCTCAGCTAAAGACATTAAGTCTCACCCTCTCATTGACGAATTCATCCCCACCATTGAAGGCGAAGACGGCATTTGTTATACCCATCCCGAGAAACTTCCCGGTAATATATAGTTATATTTATATATACAACATATATACATATATGCGTTCATGTTCGTCGGTCATTCATGCAACCCATGCGTATATGTATGGATCATATAAGCTAAAAACATTTAAGCAGCACAACATCAACATGCTTTTATCTTTTATATATATATATTATGATTATTATATGGGGGTCATACCAAAGTTTGAATCTTTTTTATTTGGGTGCACAAGAAACTAAGAAAAGATGTGTCCTTTTTCATATCTGGCTTCTGGGTTTTAATTTTGTAGGAGTAACGAGAGATGGGTTGAGCAGACATTTCTTCCACAGGCCGTCAAAGGCGTACACAACGGGAACAAGAAAGAGAAGAAAGATCCAAAACGAATGCGACTTGCAAGGATCGGGAGAGACAAGGTGGCATAAGACGGGAAAGACACGACCGGTCATGGTTAACGGCAAACAAAAGGGTTGTAAGAAGATATTGGTTCTATACACCAACTTTGGAAAAAACAGAAAACCCGAGAAGACGAATTGGGTGATGCACCAATACCATTTAGGAACACACGAGGAAGAGAGAGAAGGAGAGCTTGTCGTGTCCAAAATCTTCTACCAAACGCAGCCCAGACAATGTAATTGGTCATCTGAGAGAAGCTTGAACATTGCCGGAGAAGAAAATACTACAAGAAGAGATCATAGTGGAACTAGTGGGAGTTGTTCTTCAAGGGAGATTGTGAATGTTAACCGATCCGATGAAGTTGCCGGTGGTAGCAGTACCGTTAATGTTGTGTCCGCAGCAATGGCAGCTGGTCTCCCGAGTTACTCTATGGATCAGCTCGGTTTTGTCCCTTTTCGAAAGAGTTTCGATGAGGTATGTGTCTGATCTTTTTTTCCTCTAGCATTTCATTGACCTTTTTTTATATATTAATCCACTAAATTCATTCATGCAACAAATATAAAATTTGATCACATAAATTTCATATGGAATAGCTATTTATATATATGTATAGATAATGAATAAAAGATGGTAGTTGTGTATTGAGATCTATTCTTTCGATACAAAAATTATAAGGCTTTTAGCTATATGAGATGACTGTATTGGCGATGTATATATTGCATTTCTAATTGTTATAGGATATTTTGTTACTTGCCATAAATTAATGAGGTTCGAGTCTATTTAATTCGCCATGTTATTGGCTTTCACAAAGAGGTAAAGGTGAAAATGAGGAAGCGTTATGAAAAAGGTGTCTAGGGTTACTTTGGGATATTCTCTTTTGCTTGCATTATACGAAATTATAACTATTCCATGCCCAATGGACCTTTCTTGATTAATATTCTTAACTAACAATATGGTATAATTAAGTTTTAACCGACAAATAATAAATTATAGAAAACAATGGCCAAACCACATGTGACTAAACAAGGTGTAAATGAAATAAGAGATATCCGAAATTTAAAAAAAAATGTCAGATTTAAAAGAATGACTCATTAGCAAGAAATTGCTAAATGTGGATTGACGTGTGTATTTTCAGGTAGGAAGGGAAGCTCCTGCCCATGTCACATCCGAGGTCGACGTCACCGAGCAACATCATCATCATGGATCATCATCATCGTCATCACACCACATGGTACATGATCATCATCATCATCAACATCGACATCAAGTGGCTAGTACTGCTGCCGCATTCCACGTTAGCCAGCCCACTCATCCGATGTCTACCATCATCTCTTCACCATCTTCATTGCAACATAACATCATTGAGGAGAGTCCTTATCATCATGTCCCTAGAATCCTGCTTCCAGGTGAAAGTTTTCAGGTAAGAGGGCTCATCCAATTTCATAATTAATGTGTAAAAAAACATTATCTCATTAATTTAGGGAAAAAATTCAAATAATAATCATAAACAAGGCCGATTATTATTATTATGGGCTATGGACATCACGTCCGACACTGTGATCAGACAAAACTAGCTAATAGAATATATAGTGGCTACCATTAATTCTAGGTTTCGAAGGACATGTTGCATGCATGTTACTTAGGTTAAGAAACGATGATGAAGCTCCCACAAGCACGCAGAAACATGCTAAAATGAAAAAGATAATATAACTGAATAAAGATGATTACAAATATCATATATATATATATAGGGGGAAATCAAATGATTATTATGCCTTGTTATTTTTTTTTCCACAAACGTGGCTAACTAACAAGACAAGAAAAGCCAAGACACTTTTAGTGTAGGCCAAACAGGAAATTCCAATTGTCTTTTCTCATGAAGAGACAAATCGATTGTGGTTTGACTGAATTTGTTCTTTTCTCAAATTTATATATATATATATATATATATATATATATATATATATGTATGTATATGTATGTAATAAAATAAATTTTGGCTTTTTTTTTTGTCTTTTTTGACCGGATTGAATTAAGACACAACAAGAACAACATCATGGGAAGATGGGAGGGAGCAGGTCAGCGTCTGGATTGGAGGAACTCATAATGGGATGCACTTCTTCTTCTTCTTCTGCCTCTCATCATATAAAAGATGTAAGTAATTAATTTATTCGTTATAATTCCCTTTTTGACTCTGAATTTCATGAATTCTCATTTGCCCCCACAAGTCTGAAAACAAAACCCTAAAAAGAATATAAAAGTAAAGTACAAAGATATTTATAGTACATATATAGACTATATATATATATATATGCTTATATCATATGCTAATGTTTAGATAGCATTTTGTATAGTTTTAATATCGATCAGCGGTTCGCACAACATCAACATGCTTTTATCTTTTATATATATATATTATGATTATTATATGGGGGTCATACCAAAGTTTGAATCTTTTTTATTTGGGTGCACAAGAAACTAAGAAAAGATGTGTCCTTTTTCATATCTGGCTTCTGGGTTCAGAAAAATATAAAGGTCAGTTACTTATTAAATGGATATATAGGTTATATGTTGAATGAAAGTTGGGGATAAATATTAAATACCCTTTTTCTTTTTTCTTTCGTTTTTCCTTTTTTTTCCCTTTTGAGTTTGCTTTGTACCTAAATTACTCCCACAGAAAATTTGTCAGATTATTTTCTTTTCTTTTATTTTTTTATTTTTATGCTTTTACAGTTTCAGTGTTTTTAACTTTAATTAAGGAGAAAATTTCTTATCCCATTTATAAAATTGGATTAAAAGTACTTTGGAGTCAATCTAAAACAATATACTTGCACCATCTGTTAAAAGGTATATATACATTCGTTTTGTCAAACTCTTATAACAATTTTTCAAGATTCCATGTTTTTCCTTTTCCTCTGCATTCTTCTCTCATTTTTTGTTTTTACATTTCTTAGTTATATTTTAAAAATTTTACATCTAAATTATCTTTTTTGGACCGATCTCATTATATAGGACGATTAAAAAAGAATATACAAGAATTTCTTAAATGATTTTAGATAATATATATTTGAATCTTAATATTAGATATACACCTTACTTTGGTTATATAGAATAATTTGAAGAATAGCCACTAAAGTAACGAACTAACCATAATATATCGTTTTGGGTATCATTGTGAAGGGGGTGATGATTTCCTGCGCTTTAAAAGTTAGAAAAAATGGAAATGATGGCATTATATTATATTATATTTTATCTTTTTTCATGCGTAGCCCCTCGCGAGACAAGTTAGGCACTAGACATAATATGTATATATATATATATATATATATATATATATATTTCATGGCTTTGTGTGGGGGACAACATGTCTGAGTTCTTTCTAATCCGTCAAAACTCCAATCGAACTCTCAAAGATTATCAATCATTTAGTGTATACATACATACATGCATACATATATAGATAAATATATATAGGTTTGTGTGTGTGTATTGAGATGCATATTGTTCACATGTTGTTTGCAGGACTCATCAATGGCAAACCAACAAGAAGCCGAGTGGTTGAAGTATTCATCCTTTTGGCCTGCCCCGGACACTGACAACCAAGATCATCATCATCAACATCATGGATAGGTTCCATCCAATGAGAGAACCCCCCCCAAAAAAAAGTTAAAGCGGCATCATCAGTTTTCATTGCCATCATGTCGATGATGATGATCATCATCACCGCCATCATCAAAATCAAGTTTTTGGAAACAGTTTCTTTTTTTAGAAGTCCTGGTCGATAAATTTGGCATGGGATATATATATGGTGCATACATTTTTGTTTCAAGAACTACTTAAACATTAGAATGAGAGGGATTTTGTATGATGCTTTCATCTTTCACTTCATCTTGGGGAGAGAGAGAGAGAGAGAGAGAGAGAGAGAGAGAGCTATCACATCCAGCATATTTGCATGGAAATCATCAACAGCATCTTATTATACAAATAGATGTACATTTATGTGCATATAATTGTACTCATGAATATTAAGCAATTCTTTGTCTTATGTTCCCAACCTTACAAGGAAACAGTCAAAATCTAACATCACATAGAACATTATACAAAGGGATAATTTGCAATAAATGAAACTAATTTTTGGGTCCGCAATTGAAGGTATTATGATTCATAATATATGTGTATATCCGTGAAAGTCAATTATGATTTGCAATAGCACAAAAAATAATCAGATTTTACAATGTTATGAACCAAAAAGGATCGTTTGATTTGTCTCTACGTTTGAAATCTATATAACATTTAAAGCTTTCAGACATGAAAAACATATCTTAGATGCTATAAATTTTAATATATATGTATATATATAATTTAAATACCGGAACTGGTCGAAACTTTTTGTTCTAACACTTAAGACCCTCTTGGTGTTTGATTTTTGTATATAAATTTGAAATAAGAGAAACTTGGTCTGATTTTAAATCGAAATTTCTGTTGAATATATGTGGGGGAAAAAACAGAATCTATTCCAACAGAATAAGCATCATGTTTTTGCTTGTTCCCTTTGTTTTTTTTTTTTTGTCCATATATATATATATACCTACCTTCTTTACTACTTTGTTATATATATGTGTGTGTGTGAGTTCGACGACTGACCACGCCCCCGATGTGTTTGTATTGATCGGGAACGACTATCCTTATACAACTCGAAAACAACCCAAGACCTAGAGAATCTCGGACGAATCAAAACAGAGGAAGGAAAGGAGATATACACAATATATACATGATAATATATATGTCCGATATTCTCGGTAACAAGGAGAAGTAAAGCAAAATCAACATGGGGGAGAGATAGAGAGCTTTGGCACGGTAGGTTCTGAAAATGGAACAAAGGAATAAACAGACAAGAGCCACCTTTATTTCTCATATTCGCTTTTTTTTCCATCTTTAAAAAATAATTTAATTGGATTCGACCATAATTCAAGATTCAACTCCTCGAAATCTCTAACCACATTTCTGTTTATTATTTGTTTAAAATAAATTATTTAATGCATTACTTTTTAATTAATATGATGATCATGGTCAGAGAATTACACATGAATCAGATTCTTAGAATGTACGAAACCATGTGAACTGCATTATCGCGAGATTATTTTAGTTTTTTTTTAAGGAGATATATTGTTGAGGATTGGTTTTATAAACTATACATATATTATGTGTCACTAGTGAAATAGATGTTCATGCAATTCATTTCAACATTTCGAATCAGAAAACCAAAATCTCGAAGGAAATAAAAAACTATTTCTTTTTCTAAGTTAATATATCGGATAGATTAATTAAATTTGCTCTGTAGGTTTTAGAAAAATATGGGCTCTAGACTGATTATCTATAAGAAGTCATATATATAAATATCCAAAGTTAGCCCAATTAATTTTTTCACGAGTTTGGCCCAAAAAATTTCATCCTAAAATTATATTTGGAACAAGAACAGCTTGCTTATTTGTTTTTTTAAAACCTACTTTATCCAAAACTAATGGAATCGAAATTATTATTATTATTATTATTATTATTATTATTATTATTATTTTTATTATTATTCTCATATAATCATCTTTCCTTCTCATTTTTTTTTTCTCGGGAAAATTCACCAATGGGAAATAGCTGCAATCCAATCCAATACAATGACAAATCGAGTTTGTGGGCTCTGCTTTATTGCCTCGCATTCACATGAATCTCACAAACTTATAATGATTACAAAAATGTCTGCACCACATCTACCTAACTTGTATATAAAAACCCCATCAGGACAAAATTTATATACACTAATCAAATTAAATATAGACAATTATCCAACTGCGTTTTATTTGATTAGAGTATACAATCGGTTCTGATCGACCTTATTTTATAAAAAAAAATATGTATAAAAGGTTATGTTTTTTCTTATGAATGTACAATTTTATAATTGAATATTCTAAATTCTATATCATTTTTTAGAAAATAGAAATAGAAGCAATGTTGCTGTAAGAATGTGCATTTTTTTGCCTGTGCTATAAAAGTTGTTGGACTTCATTTGCTGGGCTCTTCTGATTAGGCTCTACCATCTTGATTGGGATACTATTTGCATTTTTTTTTAAGTAAATGATATTTATTTTCCACATACGAGACTTGATTGAGATATATATATCTATATATGATCTTAAACATTGCAGTGTGTTCATATGTACTACATATTTTGGCAAGAAATCCCGTTTGAGTCTATCCGAAAATTATCGAGTTTTAACTTGAATTTATAGATACGAAAAAAATCGAATTTTGGGTCAGAACTGAAAAAACTGATTTATTTATTTTTAAATTAATAAGAAAAATATCTCAATGTATAACTAATGGTATTAAATTGGTTGGTTTAATCCGGTTCGATCGGAATCCGAATCTGAGTCCTATAGAAATTGGATTTCGAATTTGATTTTATAGATTCAAAATATGTGAGTTGACCCCAACGTAAACCTTTCAAACCGAATATGAATTCGGGTCGAACCGATCTATTTAATCACCCTAATTAAGTCTCTTTCTGAATTACAATAAGGATAAAATATAAAAAAATGGTACTGTTTATATGATTAGGATGGGGAATTATCAGCCTAATTTTTTTTGACCCACATGGGTTTTGAAAAGTAAAACTTAATTTTTCATGTCTTTGATTCTTGCAAAATGATTATAAAACTAATGACTGTAATCAACTTCCACTAATATCTTTGTTTCCTCATAAGATGCAACCAAAACATATTGACATCAAAAGTCAACAATTCCAAGTTTCTATGCTATGTTTAGCCTTCTAGACTCTGCAATTTTTTATTTTATTTTATTCATTAGTACTAGATTTTGATGCTATCTATCAAAAAAGAATCACGAGAAAGATCCATCTGCATACATACAAATAAATAAATAAATATGCATCAGTACTCTTTGCTGTCGTGGATGAGAGATATAAATGTTGCTGATATTTATGAATAGTTTTCACATTAAAAAAATTTGTATATTTGTGATACAAAATTTATGGAGATTTGGGTTTTGAAATTGGTCGGAAATCTAATAAACAGAGATATACCCAATAAAAATTTAAAATAAAAACCTAAAGACAAAACAGTGTATGAAAGATCAAAGTATCATATGTATATTGGGACAGCAAGGAAACAGAACAAAGAAAATAAAAATAAAAATCCAATCTTTATAACATATACGAAGTCTTCTCTCATCAATGCTTCAACTACACTCTGCAATAATCTAAACCTCATCGACCCACAAAACCACTGTACATTCTCGCTCGATTCCGAAGGAATCAACCACAAGAAGCAAGAAAAATGGTGAATAAGAAGAAAGCTATGGCCTTTAAGCTTCTGGGTTTGGTTCTGTTTCTGGGTTCGATCCAGACAGAGGCCACGTTCGGAGTCGGCGGCGGCATTGGCGTCGGAATCAGCGGCGGCGGCGTTTGGATCGGCGGCGGAGTTAACGGCGGGAACCCTAATGGGGTTCCTGTTTCAGCTCCGAAGCGGCAGAACAGTGCGTACGATGCTCTGCAAACGTGGAAATCCGCCATTACAGAAGATCCATCTGGTGTTCTTAAGACATGGGTCGGACCAGATGTCTGCTCTTACAGAGGGGTTTTTTGTTCTGGTTCGATTGTGACCGCCATAGATCTCAACCATGCAAACCTCAGGGGCACCATTGTCAAAGAGCTTGCTCTTCTCTCAGACCTCACCATTCTCCACCTCAACAGCAACAGATTCTCTGGGCAAATCCCAGATTCTTTCAGAACCCTAGATTCTCTCCAAGAACTTGACCTCAGTAACAACAGATTCTCTGGTCCTTTTCCTCTTGTCACAATCTATATCCCAAATCTCGTCTACCTCGATCTCCGGTTCAACAATTTCTCCGGTCCGGTCCCCGAGGATCTCTTCAACAAGCGGCTAGACGCGATTTTCCTCAACAACAACTGGTTCGACGGTGAACTCCCCCAGAATCTGGGAAATTCTCCGGCGTCGGTGATCAATCTCGCTAATAACCGATTCTCCGGCGACATTCCGGCGAGTTTTGGCCTAACCAGCTCGAAATTGAAGGAGGTTCTCCTCTTAAACAACCAGCTAACCGGTTGCGTACCGGAATCCGTCGGACTATTCAGTGACATTGAGGTCTTCGACGTCAGCTACAATTCCTTGATGGGTCATATCCCCGACACGATCTCGTGCCTGTCGGAAATCGAGGTTCTGAATCTTGCCCACAACAAATTCTCCGGGGAGCTACCAGATTTGGTCTGCTCCCTAAGGAATCTGATGAATCTGACGGTCTCCTTCAATTTCTTCTCTGGGTTTAGCTCCGAATGCTCGAAGATGTTCTTCAGGAACGCTGGGTTCGATTTCGCCGGAAACTGTATTCCCGGCGGAGATATGCAGCGGCCGCCGCCGGACTGCTCAGGGATTCCCGGAAGCGCGTTGAGTTGCCTGAGGATTCCGGCGCAGCCATTGTTGTGCGCTTCGATCACCGTGGGATTGAAGGAAGGCGACAGTAATCACACTTCGTCGCCATGAGAGTAAAGTTTGAAACTTTTTTTTCTCTCTTTAAGATCAATTATTAGTCGAATTAATTAACTAAAAATTAAAAAAAAAAACGTAATCCTAATCTGAAGTCTTAGACTCTTATTCGTGTAACGCAATCGAATCTTGCTAAGATTTTTTTTTAACCAGAAAATTAGTAAGAAGAATTTGCGATTTGGCATTTATCGGTTAATTTATTCATAATCGGTACTTAGTCACCTTCTAATCTTTTTTTTTTTCGTATATTGGTGAGAAATTAAATTTTGCCTTAAGCCTAATAACAGTTTATAACCCAAAGTTCAATTGGTCCATAAATATGGCTTATTGGTAAAGGTTGCAAAACAAAGTTGACAGCATAGTCTTACTAATCAAGTTTTTTGAATATTTAGTCACATTCTTCAGCGACCACAATCATTTGGGTTGAATATAAATTAATTAATTAATTTTTAATAAACTAAGCAATCTAAAATGATTTGAAATTGAATAACCGAACAAAATGATTTGCAAAGAAATTTGAACGAAGGGGAGTCGATATAAAATTGAGTTAGTATAATTATTTTAAAATTTTACATTTTAGAAATAATTAAACGAAATTGTATCGAATTTGGAAATATACAGCTGTAAACCAATATTTAATGATTATGGAAGAATAATTTAGACAAGTTTATTGATATCCACAAAATGTAAGTGTCCTACAAAATTGGGAGAGGTAGGATATTAATTATTACATATTATATTTTTGGGTAAATTAATTACTATATATTATTAATGATGCCTTATCTCATACTATATGCTTTGTCGAATGAACGAGACAGAGGAAAATGGCGTGGATGAAGAGAAACGTTGAAGCATTGAATGCTCTATTTGTTCTTTTGGATTTAGGTTCCATTATTTTCTTTGATTTTTTTATTTATAAAAATATAAACCATTCAAATTTAATATCGAATTTAATTTATACCTGTCGATGAAAATATTTATTTTTAATTTTTTTATATTATATTCATATTTGGTGACATTGAATTTTTCATTTTAAAAAAATTATATTCATTGGAATTTTATATTTTGATTATACATTATTTAATTTGATTGCGTTTAATTCAAACGAGTGTAAATGTTGAGACCCTACAAACCAACATTTTTTAGGTAATGAAAATTTCAAAAAATATTGGATGGGCCTTAAGCCCATTTTCCATAATTCATATTGCCCTTCTTAAACCCAACATGGCTGATGAATCTACCAAACTCATGTGGCAATCATCACGACCGTTCATTTTACGCACCTCACGAGACAGATCAAAATCCGACGGGCAAGACACAGTACGTACTACAAATAACATAGTTTTACGATTGATCCCTTATTTTAATATAAATCACAGACCGGCCCCAAAGGTTACGAAATTACAATAACAACCCCCAAGAAGAAGGCATATCGCATAATCATTGTCATCATCAAGGAACGTAGTACATGGGATTAGGCACTTTGAATGATCGTTCGGCCACGGGAAATCCGAGCAAGTCGGTCCATTGGTCTCCTATACTCCCATGGATTCTGTATCCTTTCTTTATTAACTCCGATCTCTCCCCCGATTTGAATATTGTCGCTGATTTCCCTTTATTCTCTGGACCCCTACATCAATTTTTTTTTATAAAAAAAACATCAAACATGTTTTGTTATAAGGATTCAATCTAGTTGATCATTAGATTGGTTCGAGACAAAACCCATTAGATCCCTATGTTGTTGGATGGAATAAATAAAACTGTCCAAAACGAACATCCATAAATTTAACATGTATATTGTTAAAGAAACAATATCAATAAACATATGCATGAATTTAATATTCGATACATGCTCTAGAGACCATTGTATTTTAAATTCTACCCATAAAAAATTATATTTCATGGACAGAAATTAAAATATATTTTTAATTCAAACCAATTTAGAAATAGTAAATATATATTTTTATAGATAACGAGATGTTGTGAATGAACGTTCAATTATGAAATAAAATCTCTAAATCTTCCACATTCCGACTAATCTCCTTTTATTCTTAGAATAGAACAAGGGATTGCTCTATTCCCATGTCGTTTTGAATCGAAAATATATTTTCAATTCTGTTCATACAAAAATATATTTAACGACGCAGAAATAGAAAATATATCGTCAACTCTACCCCATAAATAATTAAAAAAAACCATTGAATAATATCTGCAAGTTAATTAATCTATATACTTTCGATATGATTTAGACCCCAAAATTTACTAAAATCACTTACTAGACTCAATTAAAGATTAACACATGATACATGTTAATTGACGTGTTAATCCGCTTGTGATTATTAAAGATAAACCATTTTTAACAAAAAAAAAAAGATAAACCATCACCAAATAATTAGGGTTTATACCTCAAGATGAGTCTTGACCAACCCGAATAACCGGCGTCTCCAAGATTCTTCTCGGTTATGCTTCTTTGCTCCTCGTCTCGTCCGGTTAGAATGATGATGGCGAATCCAATCTTCTTAAGCTCACTGTATAATCTCAAGCTTGCATCAAACGCTGGAGCTGCTCCTGTTTCCACCCACTCGTTGAAGCTCTCTTCGTTATATGGTTCCGACCTAACCGAAAAATATCAAAAAAATCAGCATCCGGTTATTGCTTAACCGGCCCGGTTTAACAGGGCATGAAGATACACGATAACCGAACCCGTATCCGTGAGCCTTGTAGTAGTCGATGTTGGTGAGAAGGGTCTCGTCCACGTCGAAGATCCAAGCGTCCTTTCCGTCGCCGGAAATTTTCACCGTCTTGGCGAAGTCGATGGCGTAATCTACGGCGGTCTCGTAGTCGGAATCGTACTGTTCTCCGGTGAGATATGCGACGACGTAGTCTTGGCACTTTTTCGGGATTCCGTACCATGTTCCGGCGTTGTATGTCTCCACGGCCAGCCTCCAGCTCTCGCAGTACGTACTCTCGGCGGAGAATGACTCTCCGCCGGGAAGCTGTATCACGGCGGAGACGGCCGCCGGGAAAATTAGGTGGAGGATCAAGGGAAAGATCAAGTGCATCGGAGACATCATTTGGGGGAGAGTGAGAGATTGATCGTGTGTGAGCGGAATGAGAAGGTTGGCTGAGAATATATATATATATATATATATATATATAGAGAGAGAGAGAGAGAGAGAGAGAAAGGCTTGATAAAATGTGGTGGTCACTGGTCAGTCGTGGAATTTAGTAGACTAGAATGGAATATTTCTGATATAGCCTTTAGTTAGTTTTCTTTTGAATTTATTAGTTGTGTATTTTCCAAATTAAAATTCTGACATCATATATCTAATGATAGAAATTCTTCCTTTATGTCAAATAAAGATTGAACACGCATGTAGTGAACTAACATTAAATATCCAAGTTTAAAAGTTCTAGTGATAACATAACATGCAAAATATATTCTTATCTCGAATTCAAATTCATTCACCCGGATTTTCTTACTCTTCCTAATTATCAAAGAAAAACTAACCTTAAATATTAAAGGTATAAGAACAATTATATCTAAAAGATGGTGAAAACAAAAGAAAATGATGATGGTGGATGAAGAATTAATTTGGTTGCAACTCCCGAACAGTAAAATGGTAATTTGAATCCATGGTTACGTATATTTAAATTCAAGAAATGTAAAAAAAAGAAGAAGAATTAGTCTATCCTTAAAGACACACGTAAAATTAGTTTGGAAATAGTTTTCAAACATGGCCTCGGTTTTTACCTCATTAGACGCGTCATTGACCCCAATCAATAGAAGTACAGCCTAAACTCAAAAAACCTAAAACATTAAAAATATAATTTTTTTTATATTTGGAAGCAAAGATAATTTAAAAAATAAATATGATAGATCACTTGTACCTAATACTTGGAAAGAATTAAAAAGCGAAAGGGACGACATTATTTACATTTCTACACGTTTTTCACGTGTTAGCACTATTCTATTCATTTTTGCTTTGTCTCAGCATTCTGTCCTTTCTCTCTCACAAAAGTTGGCATTTTACTTTCGGTCGGTTTCCATTTAGTAATAATATAAATCTTATAAAAATCAAAATAGACATCAAACTATATTGGAATTTTGGTTTGGTTCATGCATCCAGATCTATCTTTATTTTACATAAATTTGCATAATTGATGTTTAATTATGAATACGTGGCATTGTTGACAAACTATATATATGTGTATAAATAGAAGTGTTTCAAACTTCACAATGGAAATGGAATTTGTTTGGAGAAGAGCTTTAATTAATCCAGGAAGCTATATATATGTGCTTGCACTTTTAATTGTTAACGATCTATTTATATATTTAACATCATATAATATATATAATATATTTTACACATGCGTAACAAAAAAGAGAGTCATATTAAGGTAATATATATATGGTGTCGCAATCTAATTCATAATGTGAGGTATGAATAAAAAGAGCCTAGCCGGTGCATTTCTACGCCTTATATTGAATTGAATTGAATCTCTTGGACCATCTTATCTTGTTTCTACGTACACACATGCATCCATCCATCCATACATATATACATGGATAGCCATTTTGGTTACTAACCAAATCGAATAAAATATAACCGTAACCGAACCGAATTCGACATAAAAATCGAACGGTTATGATTTTTCTATACTTGAAAAAATTGAAACCGAACCGATTTAAAAAATTAACCGAAAAAATCAACATTTTTTTTTGAAAAATGATTTTTTTACAATAAAAAACTAAATATGACACGAACCAAATCGAATCAAAATTTATATAAAAATAGAATGATTATAATTTTTGTATAATCGAAATAATTAAATCTGAATATAACTGAACCGAACCCGAATCGAAACCGAAAATCACCACCACTTCTAATTGTATGCATGGGCCTTTATATATAAAAAAAATGCTAAGTTATTTTTTTGAATATTTGAATACCACCTTTAAATCTTACATATTCATATTAATTTGAGTTCGTCTCTGGGTCCAGGTAAAATATTGACCTCAAGGATTGTTCCATTCACGGGTATTAGTCAACCTATAATTAATGGATAAAGATGGTAAACCATCCTTGAGTTATTGTTAACAAATGATTAGGAGAGGTTGCAAAGTAGGTTGACGTCAGCAAAAAAAGTCTTTGGGAGGATTACCCGACAGCCACATGGAACTAATCAATGGTTTATTAGCGTGACTAATCACAATTAAAACCCTTAATCTCGCGTTTAATTAATCCCTACCCTGTGTATATAAAAAAAAATGTCCTTGAAAAAAGTTTTGGTATGAATGAATGACCTAATCTCATTTGTTTTTTTGTCTTCACTAAAAAAATATAGTTTCTCTCCGTTTGATTGCAATTCAAATCAATCGTTATATATTAGGTGTTGTTAAATTGATAGGTCCCCAAATATATGTTTTATCTAGTGTATTTATTATTATTATTATGATGAATATACCATTTTATTCATATTTAATAGTATATGAATTTTGTTAATGGGTTTCTGGTTTTTTAATAATTGTAGATATTCGGTTTATATTTATTTTCCATGAAAAGAAGATATATTGTACTTTATCAAAAAAGAATATATATTGCAGTGACTTTTGTAAGTGTTTGAATGTATGTGTATGCGCATATATATATATATATTATGTGTATGTGTGTAAATAAAAATGTAACAGTAGTCGGCCCATGAAGGTTTGCTTGTGGCCCAGTCAAATGGATAGGCCCAGAAGAGTCCAGTTCACATCCCAATATGCTGAATATGTAATTTAATGCATTTAATAAAATCAGACAAGGTCATCAAAATGCTGATACATGCAAAAATCAAATGACGACTACCTGATTGAATTCTTATATGTTTATTAAAAAATTATTCTTAATACTAATATCTAACTTTTAGATATGTAGGAATTCATCCAACATATGCATTTCTAATGAAAAAAAAAATCCAACTGAATTTCCATGCCATTAAACCAATAGAGGTGCGCCAAGTCAGCAATTTCAAATTAATTGTTGACGTGGCAAAATGTTATTGGTCGACTTACGCAGCGCCCACGCAGGGGTTATTCACTTGATTAGAACCACCGGGAACGCCCCGGGGTTGTGTGGGACGCGCTTTCCTTTTCGTCGTTCTGAATCCGCCGGATCTTTAATCGGGACCAGACCTCGTATTTCCGACACCGGCGCCGACATGTCTTCTCCGGCTGAGTAATTCCTCTTCTTCTCTCTCGATTTCCGTCTGGTTGTTTTTTGTGTTCGTTCGATTCGATTCGGTCGACATAGTTCTGGAAATTTGTTTCCTTAGGTCAGAGGTTTCTGGATTCTATCATATGCCCATTTGGTTTCCTTTAGCTTGTTTAGGTTATAAATCATTCCAGTTCTGTTCATATCACGCGATTCTCTGGGCTGAACTATGCTATCGATGTTGTTCGATTTATCTCGGATTTTCAAGTGACCCGAATCAGCATTCCTAGTTTCTGCGATTTAAGTGTAGGAATTTCTTCATTATGGCTTCTCATAACTTATCGAAGTTTATCAAGAATCGAGGGCTTGTTTCCTTGGATCCAAACTCCTTTTTGGATCGTTTTGGGTGAAGATTCTTTACAACTTATGGAGGTTGAAACAATAATACACCTAGAAATCATGGTTTCGTCGCCCATCACATGTGGAATATCGAAATATCGATAATGCTTGCAGCTATTTGATGTTAGCCCATCCCTGGTTCTGATAAGTGTTCTTAGCTTGGAGAAATTTCGTGTTCAAGTCCACCCTTTTCGTGTCTCTTTGATGCTCAGCTGAATACGTGTACTACGTTATTGTTATGACAAGGTTCTTCCTTTAGTGGATCTTAGTGGTGTTGTCCTTGTTTCGAGTATATGGCTGCCTATTGTGCATATAATCCCGAAGTACATAATATTATCCTTCAAGTTGTTTCTTGTGACAGTTGTTATTTGTTACGTTGAAATGCAGATATTATAACTCGCTTCCACCTATAACAAAGGCTTACGGTACTTTGTGTGTCCTGGCCACAACAGCCTATCAGTTGGGCTTACTGAATCATGTTCATCTCGCTTTGATTCCTGAACTGGCAATTAAGCAGTTCCAGGTAAAAGAAATTTGCTTTCCCCTTGAAAATTTGTGTGTTTATGCTAACTAGTGTTTCAAATTTCAATTTGATCTGTTTGCAGGTGTGGAGGTTGATAACAAATTTCTTTTTCCTCGGTGGGTTCTCAATCAATTTCGGGATCCGTCTATTGATGATGTGAGTATCGCTGGTTTATCTAAGATTTCACGATGTGTGTTTCATCATGTTCCGTTTAACATCCTTGCTGAAATGATTGAGCAGAGCAAGATATGGAGTTCAACTGGAAAAGGGACCGTTTGAAAGGCGAACAGCAGACTTTCTGTGGATGATGATATTCGGGTCCTTGACATTATTGGTATATAAACTTCTCCGTTAAGTTTTATAACTCTAACCAGCTCACTTTTATGAGATGGCAAAGGTTCTTTTATGTTATATAATGAGTAAGCTTTACGAAATCCGAAGAGATCCTAAAATGAAATAATCTGAAGCATGACATGCATATACTGTTCATATTGGTTTTACCATTATCCTTGGACAATTTCCAGGTTTTATCGTTCATACCCTTTTTCTGGTCCCCTTTCCTTGGCGTATCACTGGTGTTTATGCTCCTATATCTCTGGAGCAGAGAATTCCCAAATGCCAACATCAATATCTACGGCCTCGTCAGTCTTAAGGTACTGATGACTTTTTCTCTGTAAGCTCATCCAGATTCCACCCGAGTATAACCTGACAAGTGAATTGAAATGGGTTCCAATCTCAGGCTTTCTATCTCCCGTGGGCAATGCTGGCATTGGATGTTATTTTCGGGTCCAAAATCATGCCAGATCTTATTGGCATCATTGCCGGGCATCTCTACTACTTCCTGACTGTGCTCCATCCTCTCGCCACCGGAAAGAATTACCTTAAAACCCCGAAATGGGTGTATCCTTAACTCAGTGCTGATAAGACGGATGATCTGTCAAGAGTACAGAAACTCTACTTCACACACATTTATATTGGAGATTATCCCATTAAGTTACCTTGCTATTCTTCTGTGAATCTGTGATATGTTCGGGAATTGGGAAACATCCTTAACTTTCTCGGTAGGCATAATCTGGTGGCGAAGTGGCGAATTGGAGCTCCGGGAATCGCTCGAGGAGGAGGAGGAGGAAGTGGAGGAGGAGCTCCTTCTAGGGGAAGCGCCCCACCCGAGAGCTCAAACGCGGCTTTCAGAGGGAGATCATACCGTCTCAGTGATTGAAAAATTCTCCTGGTTACTATGATGTTCGCATCAGTTTCATCATTCCTTAAGTGTTCTTCAGACATTATCCACTTTGTCAATTAACCAGAGGTAAGTTTCTGATAGAAATGAATACTTTTGTGTTTGAGAATAACAGTTCTTGTTGTTGGCTTATAGCTTTTAGGAAGAAAGCATTGGATATATATATATATATATATATATATATATATATATATATATATATATGAGTGTGTTTTTGGCACATTCTAGGTTCTATTTTTTTTTTAAATATCTTTCTTTCTGTTTCACGGATGAAATAATGAAATGATCTTCAAGGACCGTTTGATGAACTTGTAGAAAAGGTATATTTCATTACACAATGCAGAAAACCATTCCAATATCCTGATAGCTTTTATTTTAATATGACCTGAAATAAATAAATTTTTAAAATGAAATAAGTGAAAAAAAAAATATGTTGCCAACCTCTAAAATGAAACATGCTATATACAATCAAATATGATTAGACCACAAAAGTATCAAAATGATATTCCAAAAAACATGTTGATTTTAATTTATACACTAAAACAATCGTATGTTGAATTTCGTAAGAACAACATATAAAATTGTTCCACAAATTTTAAATAAATTTATGGAATTTTAATATCCTGAAAATTTTATCGTGGTCGTTACTCGATATAAATAGGAACAAACCGGCCAAGGGCCAAAAGACACGTGGCAGCCATTTAAATAATGCCAAGCTATAACAAAGGCGAGACGTGAGTAGCACTAATTAAAATTTAAATAATTTTTTAAATAAATAAATGGACGGATAAGAATACGTCTTTTCGATCCAACGGTTCACATTTCTTCTTACCCGCATTGCCTTCGCTCCCTATTTATCGAACGACGAATTCGTCCCCGTTTTCACAATACGCTCAGAGTCGAGAGAAAAAAATTCGACAATCGCCGGGAGGAAGAAGAAGAGATCGAAGCAATGTCGTGGCAGACCTACGTTGATGAGCATTTGATGTGCGATGTCGGCGATGGACAGGGCCATCACCTCACCGCCGCCGCAATCGTCGGACATGACGGCAGCGTCTGGGCTCAGAGCGCTAACTTCCCTCAGGTGAACCATCTTTCTTCGCCGTTTCATATGTTTGAATTTCTTCTGGTTCCGAGGTTTCGATTTGATTTTGTTCGTATGTTCCGATCTGATCGGTGTTCCGTTATTTTGGTTGGTAACCGGATCGTGTTTTTGATTGGATAGACCGGTTTCTTCGTAATCGAAAGATTTTTTTCCCTTGTTTCCGTCGATATGCTTGATCGCAATGTTTCATGTAGTGATTTATGTTCGGGTATCTGTTATCAAGATCAGATTGATGGTTTTGATTTCATGTGTTTCTTTGAATATGTTTTGCATGGCTTTTGTGTCTATCGATCGGCCAGAGGATGTAGTTTTTTTATTTTGAATGTCCGTGTATCTAGAGTTATTTTCGTTTTCAATTGGTTTGAGGCATTTTTGTTGAAATCAGCGGCGATGTTATTGTTATGCGTAGAATGGCCTTTGTATTTGTGAATAGTGAACGTTGAGTCAGTCCGGATCCAGACAATTCTAAATCTGTCAAAAACTTATTTGCTTGGTGTAGTTCTGGGTAAGCCATTCTAGATTTCATGTTGGGTATTTCACTTCTTCTTCTTCGATTGCATTTGCAACGTAATGGAATGAATGACAACATCTTAAAAACAGAGATGAACAAATCGCTTATCTTCCGTGTTGGCATGTCTTCACATAAACACCGATTCGTATAATTTTGAAAACACTAGTGGGGTTTTTAAAGCATCTTGATGGTTGAATGTTAGAAAATAAAAGTATATTGCAGTTGGATAAAGAGGCTAATTATCATCATCATCATCATCATCTATTTGAACAGCTCAAGCCTGACGAAATCACTGGAATAATGAAAGATTTCGACGAGCCGGGATACCTCGCCCCTACAGGTTTACACCTCGGAGGAGCAAAGTACATGGTCATCCAGGGTGAGCCCGGGGCTGTTATCCGTGGCAAGAAGGTAAAGTCATAATCTATGCCACCTTGATCGTCTTGGTGATTGCTTTTGATCAGGGGTGGTTAATTTGGTTAAACCGTAACTGAATCAAATCTTATATAAAAACCGAATGGTTATGACTTTTTTTAAAACCGGAAAAAATGAATAAAAAATATAATCGAAAAAATCGAAAATTTATTTGAAACTTGAAACTAGATCCGAACTGAAATAGAATGGAACCGAACCGAACTGAATTCAATTTAAAAACCGAATGGTTATAGTTTTTCTAAAACCGAAATAACCGAACTAAACCCTGTAGTGGAACCCGAAATGGTCACCCATAGTTTTGATGCATGAGGAAGAATGGAAATGAGTAGAGAGGGGATGTATGTGGGTGGCAGGGATCAGGAGGGGTAACCATAAAGAAGACGGGGCAGGCGCTAGTGTTCGGGATCTACGAAGAGCCTGTCACCCCAGGACAGTGCAACATGGTCGTCGAGAGGTTGGGAGATTACCTCATCGAACAGGACCTCTAAACACCTCCCCTCTGTTCCCGTCGGCCTTCTCTCTTTATATATACTTGCCATTTTTCCTTTCTTGTTTTATTTTTGAAATGGTTCTTGTTTCTTCTCGGTGTTTCTTCCCTTAATAACACAACAGCCGTGTGAAGTGAAGATTATAGACAACTTCTCTTTCTTTCCTCCAAGCGTTTCCGCTTGTCTTTGTTGATTTTTATTTTTTTTCCTTACTCTTTTATTACATATATATATACACATTATGGTTTTGAAAACTTTCGTTATGTACAGTCGGTTGAAGCACAAACTGTGGTGGTCATACATTATTAGACACAAACACACACCATAAATATAGATAAATCATACAATTCAGACCTATAAAAGGGCGTACAAGGATTTTGAAAGAAAACAAAACCATCGTGTGAATAGATTGGTCCACTTCACATGATCAATTAAAACCCTAAACTTAAAAGGATCGACTTTAATAATTTTTTCCCTTTTTTTTCAAGTGGACACAGCTCTTAAATCAGAATCATTCTTCACCTTTTGCAAAAAAAAAAAAAAAAGGCTTGTCGAGAAAAATCATTAGATCCCATCTATCCTTGAGAGGTCGCAACTGTAGCAACAGCTCATGATGAAGATAGCGATTCGTATCTGTTAAATCATTTCTCCTACACACATTTTAGAAAAATAAAATTGAAAAACATTTATGTAATATGAGAATATAGGAATAATTTCCACCCAAAAAAAAAAGAATAAAGTTTTCTTTAACAATTTTGCATTTGACATTAAATATTAATACCGTAGAGTGTTTTACCTTGAGTTTTAATAAATAAAATCTTATTTATTCAGTACTATTTTTAATTTAAATATTTAACATGTTGAAAATAATAAAACAGGTAGCGTGGGACCAAAATAATGGCATATTCAAGTTGGCACACGTTATACTTTGATTGAAACCTTTGACAACCATACACTCTGTCCAGTGACAACAAATTCATCTTGCCTACGAATTTCATTATTATTCGAATTTCGAAGATTTAAGAGGAGGATATCTTATTCGAAACACAATATATAATTTCGAAATATAAATATGAGCATGCTTATGTATACGTAAATGGTTATTATCAATCCGAATTATTTAATTTATTCGGTGTATTTACATTAGAAAAATATTCTCCCGATTGCCGTTTCATTTTCTCGCGAAAACGCTTCCGTGTAAGAACACAGGAAAAAAAAAAGCGAGAAAGAAGAAGGAGAGGGAGGAGGAGGAGAAGATGTCGTGGCAATCGTACGTCGATGACCACTTGATGTGCGATGTCGAAGGCAACCGCCTCGCCGCCGCCGCAATCCTCGGCCAAGACGGCAGTGTCTGGGCTCAGAGCTCCGGTTTCCCTCAGGTATTTCTTCTCTTGTTTCGCGTTTTCGATCCGTTTTCCGAAGCTTTTGGATCAATCTGATTGGTCTCTGTTTGGGAATTTTCGTGATCGGATCTGGGAAAGCTCGGATCCGGTCTGATTCTCTCGAATTGAAGTGGCGGAATCTGTTCTTTTTTTGTAGTCACATGATTCAATTGGTTTGTTTCGATGGTGTTTCCTTGGTTCTGTTCAAATCAATGCTTCTGGATTCTTCGTATGGTGCCGATAGAGTTATCCTGCATAGGCGTCAATATACATATAAAACATCATATATGCGGGTGTATATGTATTTGTATTGCATATGCTTGCCCTAGGTTTGACAGTGAACCAGTATCTTGTGGTTTCCCCAAATGCATCGGACTAAAGGGAGGAATCTTCCCGAAATTTATTCCTTTCTCCACCGTCCTCTTCTGATTTCTGCATTAGAACCTCAGAATAGATCTTCTGGACCATACCAGAAGCTCGGTCTTAGGATCATCACCCATCTGATTGTTTGTTTCTGTGGAGAATCTCTGTCGTTTATTTCCCCCGTTGTCTGATTCTCTGAATCCGAAGCTTGTTCTTTCGATGTTATTGTTCCCTAATCAACTCGAGCTCATTGCTTTTTGTTTAGTTCAAGTCCGAAGAAATAACTGCGATCATGAAGGACTTTGATGAACCCGGAACTCTTGCTCCTACCGGCTTATTTCTTGGTGGGACCAAATATATGGTTATCCAAGGTGAGCCAGGAGCTGTCATCCGAGGAAAGAAGGTAAATGAACTTGCATCTATTCGTTGGATCAAATTATATTACAAAGTAAAACATTCCTGCATATCGATCTTTATGGAGTTAGAGAATCAAAGGATCGGAATTTAGCAATCTCGATAAGTTTTTTATCATCAGAAATTCATTTTTTTCTGGCTTGCTTGTGTTTTCAGGGACCTGGGGGAGTCACTATCAAGAAGACTAATCAAGCCCTAGTGATTGGCATCTATGATGAGCCAATGACTCCGGGCCAATGCAACATGGTCGTGGAAAGGCTTGGCGACTACCTCATCGAGTCTGGTCTTTAAGAAATGAAGCTGTCCTGCCCTTTTGGGTTTTCAGGTTCTTTTTGTTAAACCAACTATTGTGTCTCATTTGTGATTGATTATAATGCCAAAAATTGCGCATTTATGGGAATGAAAAGAACAGAAGAAACAGCTTGATGGGTTTGTGACCCTTTGGAGTCTTTGTGATGGTTTTGATGATCCTTTTCTTGCCATACCGATTGGTGAATTCTCTGGGGGGTCTCCCCCATATATGTTATAATGTTGCAGCAGTTTGGGATTTCTGCATCACTTTATATGAATGTAACTTTGGAATTCTGTTTTGGGGGATTGAAGTAACACCGGTTTAGTATAATTCTCCCATATAATTGCTGGTTATTCATTGGTACCACCAATCAACCGGTTCATTGTGATTCTGATCTGATTTCTTGGTATAAATGATCATACGGGTAAAATAACCTGGTTAAAACCTCGGTTTGGTTTGATAACCAAACTCAGCAAACATAAACCGGATTAGCTGACATGCTAAAATGTTTCAAAAAGGCAATGCCAATCACAATATACATACTGATGGTTTGATGACAATACGCGAGGAGCAATTTCAGGACAACAGGAAGAAGGAAGAGCTCTCATCTCAAAGCAGACTCACAAGGTCACAACAGAGCAACCGAGTTCGAAAGCCGAAATGATATGGTCACGATGCAGGACAGGAAAACGGAGATAGCGATGGAAACCCGTTGTCTGAATGCTTCACTGCTTGATGTCGGAGCAGCCATGGGCGAATCAATGGCCGTTATATTCCCCGACAGGGTTTTGTTCAATCTGCCAAAATCACACAGAAAAACCCTAAACGAGTTCAGTTTCTTTCTAGTGGTTATATAAAAGAGCACAGTAACCACTAAGTGAAAAAGAACTCTCACCCTGTAATGGCAGGAGCAATCATGTACAAGCAGTTATCATAGCCTGCATACAAAATTCAGCAATTCGAATAAGAATATATTATGAAGTTTGGGAGAGCTCGTTGGTTTAGGGTTTATTTAGGGTTTAACGAGTTAGCTAGGGTTTATTTAGGGTTTAGGGTTTAATGAGTTTAGGGTTGGACGAGTGAATGTGTACTTACTAGGGTCCCTGTCGATAAGAACACCGATCCCGCTGAAGTTACAAGCGATATCAGTAGCCCCGTTCTGCTGGAAGTAGGTATTGAAAGCGTAAGAAGCATGCGAAAGGACGGTATCCGGCTCGAAACAAGGCTGGCTCTCCTGAATGGCCGAACAGTCCACATTCCCGGGGCCACACGCCCAGTCCAATCCGCTCTGCAGATCTGTTTCCGAAGCCTGAGACGAAGCAATGCACCATCTTTTCGCCGACCCAATGGTGGTTATGTTAGTGCCGATACCACCACCGGGAGGAGTAGGGTTTGTAGGACCCGAGCTCGAAGAATTCGTAGGAGGAACGATGGCGGTTGTATCTTTCCCCGTGAAGTCCAGCTTGTAAATGCTGCTACCATTCGGGTAATACAATCCCCAGTTCCTCTCGGACTCTATCCCGGGTTTACGATTCTCGTTGAACAGCGAGAATACATACACATCTATCTCTTCCCCGGGCTTTGCAGGAGTCCCTGTTCACAAAGAAACGGTAAGTAAACAATGCGTCTTCACCCGTTATCCAACCCAATAACTGAAGATCAAACTCGGTTAAGGTGGTTTAGCATGCAAATACCAACACTCAGATCAAGACAGCAGGTCAGGAGATATACCCGAGTCGCCGATGACATGGCGAATAAGGTTAGTGTTGTAAGTCACGGCATTCTCGGGTGTAGCAGCTGTCTCCCTGGGCGAACCCTTTGTCGGCCAGCCCGACTCTGTAACCATAACCTTGATGGTACGGAAGTTCATCGCCGTTAAGGCGAAATAGATGGCGTCGAGCTGAGCATCGAACATGTTTGTGTACAGCAAACCGGTGGAAGGATCAACAACTTGCGAAGATGACTGGAAGAGAGCGTATTCCAACGGGACTTTTCCCCCAGAATCTCTGAACGCGTAATACGGATACAAGTCGATCATGAAGGGGGAATCATTCTCGGCCAAGAACTCGAGCATCGGCTTCAAGAAAGCCTCGTGCTTTCGACCGAATGCCCCCGAAGAAGGAGGGAACGAACGGGACAGGACAGCGAGGGAATGCGAGCTGGAGACTTTGATCTTCTTGTCCAAACCGGCTTTCCTCAGAGCTGTATGAATGTTTCTCATTGCAGGCACGACCAGACCTGTAGCATTGTCCGGTGCCTCAGTGACTTCAAGACCGACAGATATGTAATTGATCTTCGTGGCCGGGTAATACGGAAGGATATTGTTCTTCAGCCATGAATCGACATTGGATTGGAACTGGGAAAATGCCAGAAGATCAGAATTCGGGACACCGATCATCAGTTCGACGCCTGTGTTCGAGAAAGCTTTGAGAACATCAATGTTTGCATCGTAGATTCGGACATATTTGATGCTAAGTTGTTGAATCAGCTCAGATACTCTGTCTGGGCTCGGGAGATTATCCGCGTTTCTTCCATAGCATATCCCTATCGTGCTTGCTGAACTGAGATCTGCGTGTAAATTCAGATTCCATCAAGACATTATTCATGGAAAAGCAACAGATTCGTGGTTTCCTTCAAAGGATTGGATTAGGGTTTATGTTTAGGTTTCCAGAAAAGTGTAATGAACATAGACACGAAGAGGCAGTCGGACATGGAATAGATCGAGACTTCGACAAATGACGAAACTTGACTAAACCCAGAAAGTTTATCAGATTCAAAGCAGAGAAAGTGCAAAGCTTTTGGATAAAGAAAAAGAAATTCAGATCAACTCAGCCCAGAAATGAAAAAAAAAAACCACAAAAGGAAACAAGTGAAAGACAATAGAAGCCATAACCGAGGAACTAACTAAAGAAGTAAGAGAAATGATTGAACGGGGAAGAAGAAGAAGGCATACCCAGAAAGACCAGAGACAGAACACAAACAGAGAAGATCAGCATCCATGGCTTCCTCCCCATCTGCTTCTCTCTCTTTCTCTCTCTAACTCCTTTTCTCTGGTTTCTTACTTCGCACTGATCCTTTCTCTCTCTAAAACCCAGAATGTAACGTTCTCTGAGCAACAGCAGGTCTCTCTCTCTAAATACTAGCCGTAGTGAGAGCACGGAGTTCTAGAGAGAAAGGGAGAGGCGAGGTTTTTGCGTTAGTGTGTCAGAGCTCCGGATTTCAGAGGGCATTTTAAAATTGGGTTTATAGAAAGGTCTCGATTCCGCGATTTTCTTCCCTTTATTTTTTTGGTTTCCCGAGCATGTTTGTTCTGTTTCGGTTTGCAGATTTTACAAAGACTACTACTGTTTCTCGCGCAGATTTTCTTTGGATATCCTTTGAATATATTATTAATGAAATAAATAAACAAATGTTTTTAGGACAAGAACATGGGTTACAGTGTTCTGCTTTTGTTTCTATCTAACGGTACATTTCCCACTCTCTGATCAAAGAATCTCTCCACTTCTATTTCGCTTCTTTTCACAATTTTATATAATGGAATCTATTAATTAATTAATTGTTAATTCATGTTTATGATTTATCACGAACTGGAATTGATATTTCAGTTAACAAAATCGAATATGATTTAAAAATATTTGAATGTAATTTTTTAAAACTAATTTAAGTTTTTAATGACAACATCGAATCGAATATAAAGTTTTTTTTAATAAAATATACTATATTGTAAAGAAAAATTTTAAATGGAATATAAATACATACAGATAAAACGACAAATTGGTATGAAAATTATCTAGATATCTATATTTTTATAATTAACAATTAAATCTAATAATAACGAAAAAATTGTATGCAAAATTCGCAATACTCAATCTTAATTATGATATTTTGTCTATAAAAATGTTATTACATCACATGACTTTGTTGTATATTGATCACTATTTGGGAAAACATTGAACATTTGTAAAATGAGACCACCGAATAAAAGCTGTTTTCCAATGAAACCATACATACTCTTTTTTATATATATATATATATTCCAAACCAAAAAAGGTTCTTCTCATGAGAACATAATTTACTTGTAATCATTATAGTAAGATTCTTCTCCAGTTACCTTTGGTCGTATTCTTGATTATGAGAGAGCTATTGAAAAGTGTTATAAACTAACCAATGCCAACATATCATGAATTTTAATTTTTTATATCATCAGTTACACCTTATCTTTACCTTCATTTCCACTTGCATTTTAAATTTTTACAACAAAAGTTATTTTTTGTGTCGGTTCGCGAGCTATTGAAAAGTTTGCATATAAACCTAAAAAAATCTTAACAAAATTTAAGTGACATTACAAGAATCTCTAATTTTAAAAGATCAACCAAAATATCCAGTTTTGCAATCATTTCAAAGGAGTGAAATTGATACCTCGATATGAATATAATTTTTAGAATGAGCCAACACATGGGGCAATAAAATGGGCCTAAAATAATCAAGCTATTCCAATCGAAAGGCCGTAGAAAGCAGTGGGGAAATTTTCATAGTGGGCTTCGAGATACCGTTACTGTGCTTTTCGTAGTGAAAACTCATATTCACTGTGAAGTTCCATATGTGAATAAATATGTTTTTCTAATAAACAAGTTTATGCCAACGTATTGTGCTTAAAAAAGAACATTACAAGTATCAAAACCAAAATAAATGTAAACTGGGGTCATGACACTCAAACACGTTAAGCAGATGATACCAAAGGAGGTTTTGATTATAAACACACTCAAACAAACAACCATTCGATGTTGCCTCTTCTCATCAGCCCTTTAGTGCTTACAACTACTACGAGAGAAGATCCAAAAACATGTTTTCCAATCTACCTTGAGATACCATATCTATTATCATACCTGAGGTCGATGCATGTATAGAAAACCCATTGCTCCGCATTTCTCGCGTCAGCTCGATAGCCATCGAAAGAAAGCCATTCCTGAGACAACTCCTAATCAATACGTTATATATACGATCGTCAGGAAAACAACCAGCCTCCTTCATCTTCCCAATCACCGTTTCGACTTCACAGAATGAACTTTTTCCGCAAAGTCCGGAAATCATTATATTATACGTGATAACATCCGGTTTCACCCCTTTATCAAGAAGCCTATTAAATAGTATCAACGCCTCGTCAACCCTCCCAACCTTGCACAAACCATGCATAATGACATTATGGGAAGATATACGAAGCTCAATCCCACTCTTTTCCAGATCATTATATAGGCCAAGCGCCTTCTCTGTTTTTCCATTCTTACAAAGGCCATCAAGCAAAATGCTGTAAGTTACAAGATCAGGATGATGTCCCTTACACTGCATCTCCAGGAAAAGCTTTTGGGCAGCATCAAGCTTGCCCACCCGATAAAACCCTTGGATGAGAATGTTATACGAAGCTCAATCCCACTCTTTTCCAGATCATTATATAGGCCAAGCGCCTTCTCTGTTTTTCCATTCTTACAAAGGCCATCAAGCAAAATGCTGTAAGTTACAAGATCAGGATGATGTCCCTTACACTGCATCTCCAGGAAAAGCTTTTGGGCAGCATCAAGCTTGCCCACCCGATAAAACCCTTGGATGAGAATGTTATATGTAATTGTATCAGCAACCAATCCTCTTCGAGACATCTCATAAAAGAGATTCATACCCTCACCGACCCTATTAGCCTTGCAGTAACCGTTTATCATAGAATTATAAGTAAACGTATTCGGAACTAGCCCACTTTGGATCATCTCCTCGCACAATTCCTCGGCCTCCAGAAACTTTCCCTCTTTACAGAGGGCATCGATTAATACACTAAAAGTGACAACATTAGGGTTAATTTTCATTTCAACCATCTCACTCAACAATCGGGCAACATCATCCCATCTACCAAACTTGGAAAGGCCGTTTATCAAAGAGGTGTATGTAACAACATTTGGTACAATCCCGACGTCCCCCATCTTCCCAAAAAGGTTCAATGCATCGTCTATGCGTCCAGCTTTGCAAAGACAATCAATTATCATACTATAAATTATGACATTGACTTCAATACGCATTTCCTCCATCTTCATGAGCAAAGTCAACGCCAAATCATAATCCCCTAACTTGCAAACCCCATTTATAACAACGGCATATGTGACTACGTCGGGTTGACAATCCATAGTTAGCATCATCTCATCAAGCAAACTCAATGCTTCAGAAATTCTACTCTCAAGACAAAATCCGTTGATCAAAGTGGTGAATGTGACCACATTAGGCTCGTATCCCTCTTTCACCATTTGGTCAACCAAGCTTAACGCAGCAGAAATCTTGCCTTGGATGCAGAGTCCATGAACTAGGATGGTATATGTGACCACATTAGGCTTGTATCCCTCTTTCACCATTTGGTCAACCAAACTTAGCGCAACGGAAATATTGCCTTGGATACAAAACCCATGAGCTAAGGTGTTGTATGTGATTACATTAGGCTTGTATCCCTCTTTCACCATTTGGTCAACCAAACTTAACGCAGCGAAAATATTGCCTTGGATACAGAACCCAAGGGCTAGTGTGTTGTATGTGACTACATTAGGTTTGTAGCTGAGTTTCAAGATTTTTGCCATAACAGATAAGCCCAAAAACACTTGACCAGAACGGCAGAAACATTTGATCAGAATGTTAAAAGAGTAGATATCATGTGAAACCCCAAGCAATTCCATTCTCTTGGAGAGCGAAATCACAACATCATACCGTTTGGTCTTCATGATAGAACTCAATAATTTACTGAAATCAACGACGGGAGGTAAGGGACGAGACCGAACCATCTGACCGAACAAATCAATGGCATTCTCCACATGACAATCATGAAACCCACATCTCAATCTCTCTCTGTAAGACGTACTGCAATCTCTACCACCGGAAAAAGCCGATCTCCGACAACATAAAACAGATGAACAATGCAAGAAATTGTTCAGAGTACCTCTCTCTAGGGGATGAATATGAGCAAAACCTGAAGCAGAAGGCGATGCGAAAGCAGCCATTCTCCAGACCATTAGCGTCATCTTACGAACGAGAATGATGGAGAAACCCTGACCAAGTCACTGAAAGGAGACGAGAGAAATTTGAAGACTTGGAAATGTCTGCTAAGACTAAGAGTGTCGAAAAGGAGGAAAATAAGGTCCGAGGGGCTTTAACAAACCTAATGGCATTACCGTAATTATGATAAAAAGTTAGGGATAAACCTGTATTTTAATGGGTTTCGTTCTCTGTTCGCAGAGCTCCAGTACAAGAAGAGAAAATGGAAAACAATCGACCAAATGGTACTTTGATAAATGACGAAACCCAGAAAGCTTATCAGAATCAAAGCAGAGAAAGTGCGAAGCTTTTGGATAAAGAAGAAGAAATTCAGATCAGCTCACAAAAGGAGCCATGGCTGAGAAGAAAGAGAAATGGGTGAATGGGGAAGAAGAAGAAAAAGGCATGCCCAGAGAGACCAGAGACAGAACACAAACCGATAAGATCAGCTTCCATGGCTTCCTCCCCATCTGCTTCTCTCTCTCTAATTCTCCTTTTCTCTGGTTTCTTGCTTCTCACTGATCCTTTCTCTCTCTAAAACACAGAATGTAATGTAACGTTCTCTGAGCAACAATGGCAGGTCTCTCTCCCTCTCTAAATACCAGCCGTAGTGAGAGCACGGAGTTCTAGAGAGAGATAGGAAGAAGCCGGTGTTTGTTCTGTTTTGAGTGTGCGGATTTTACCATGACTACTGTTTCTCTCGCAGATTTTCTTTAGATATTCTTTGAATTAATTATTAATGAAATAAATAAATAAATATTTTTAGGACAAGAACATGGGTGACAACAGTGTTCTGCTCTTGTTTCTATCTAACGGTACACTTCCCACTCTCTGATCAAAGAATCTCTCCATTTCTATTTCGCTTCTTTTCACAATTTTATATAATGGAATCTATTAATTAATTGTTAATTCATGTTTATGATTTATCATGAACTGGAATTGATATTTCAGTTAATAAAATCGAATATGATTTAAAAATATTTGAATGTAATTTTTTAAACTAATTTAAGTTTTTAATGACAACATCGAACGAATATAAAGTTTTTTTTATAAAATATATATTTTTAAAAGAAATTATTTAAATAGAATATAAATTAATATAGATAAAACAAAAAATTGGCATGAAAAAAAAATTGGAAAAATTTCGTTCTTGGGCGGAGTACATTTTGCATATATCCAATTACCAAATGTACCACCCATTTTTAATTATGATATTTTATCTATAAAAATATTGTTATATTACATGACTTTGTCGGATTGGATCGGAGCGAATCGTCTTAAGCCATCTCATTTTTGGTTGAGTGCATTCGACCCATTTTTTTACAAGCTAGAAAATCTGATCCAGATTAAATTATCCGAGATACGAGTCATCTCATATTTACTTAATTATCCGAATTAATAATTTGAAATCCACGTGACAATAATTAAAGTCATTCAAAATAATATAAAATATTTAACATATCGAACCATAAATTCATATCCAAATGAAGAAAAATTAACAAAAAAAAATCTCATATTACTAAACCAACATAAAAAGTGTTATAAAGTAACCAACATAAAAAAGTCAAAATGCATATACCAACGCCAATGTATCATGAATTTTAATTTTTTATATCATCAATTAAACCTTATCTTTACCTTCATTTCCACTTGCATTTTCAATTTTTACAACAAAAAGTTATTTTTTGTGTCGGTTCGTGAGCCGACCGAGTTGGCTCGGTTGGACTCCGGGTCACAACGAGTTGGCTTGATTATGAATCACTTTTCCAGTTAGATTTCCCCATATTATTTGTTTTTTTTTTCTGCCTTTGGTCGTATCCTTGATTATGAGAGAGCTATCGAAAAGTATGCACATAAACCTAAAAAATCTTAACAAAATTTAAGTGACATTACAAGAATCTCTAATTTTAAAAGATCAACCAAAATATCCAGTTTTGCAATCATTTCAAAGGAGTGAAATTGATACCTCGATATGAATATAATTTTTAGAATGAGCCAACACATGGGGCAATAAAATGGGCCTAAAATAATCAAGCTATTCCAATCGAAAGGCCGTAGAAAGCAGTGGGGAAATTTTCATAGTGGGCTTCGAGATACCGTTACTGTGCTTTTCGTAGTGAAAACTCATATTCACTGTGAAGTTCCATATGTGAATAAATATGTTTTTCTAATAAACAAGTTTATGCCAACGTATTGTGCTTAAAAAAGAACATTACAAGTATCAAAACCAAAATAAATGTAAACTGGGGTCATGACACTCAAACACGTTAAGCAGATGATACCAAAGGAGGTTTTGATTATAAACACACTCAAACAAACAACCATTCGATGTTGCCTCTTCTCATCAGCCCTTTAGTGCTTACAACTACTACGAGAGAAGATCCAAAAACATGTTTTCCAATCTACCTTGAGATACCATATCTATTATCATACCTGAGGTCGATGCATGTATAGAAAACCCATTGCTCCGCATTTCTCGCGTCAGCTCGATAGCCATCGAAAGAAAGCCATTCCTGAGACAACTCCTAATCAATACGTTATATATACGATCGTCAGGAAAACAACCAGCCTCCTTCATCTTCCCAATCACCGTTTCGACTTCACAGAATGAACTTTTTCCGCAAAGTCCGGAAATCATTATATTATACGTGATAACATCCGGTTTCACCCCTTTATCAAGAAGCCTATTAAATAGTATCAACGCCTCGTCAACCCTCCCAACCTTGCACAAACCATGCATAATGACATTATGGGAAGATATATGAAGCTCAATCCCACTCTTTTCCAGATCATTATATAGGCCAAGTGCCTTCTCTGTTTTCCCATTCTTACAAAGGCCATCAAGCAAAATGCTGTAAGTTACAAGATTAGGATGATGTCCCTTACATTGCATCTCCAGGAAAAGCTTTTGGGCAGCATCAAGCTTGCCCACCCGATAAAACCCTTGGATGAGAATGCTATATGTAATTGTATCAGCAACCAAGCCTCTTCGAGACATCTCATAAAAGAGATTCATACCCTCACCGACCCTATTAGCCTTGCAGTAACCGTTTATCATAGAATTATAAGTAACCGTATTCGGAACTAGCCCACTTTGGATCATCTCCTCGCACAATTCCTCGGCCTCCAGAAACTTTCCCTCTTTACAGAGGGCATCGATTAATACACTAAAAGTGACAACATTAGGGTTAATTTTCATTTCAACCATCTCACTCAACAATCGGGCAACATCATCCCATCTACCAAACTTGGAAAGGTCGTTTATCAAAGAGGTGTATGTAACAACATCTGGTACAATCCCGACGTTCTCCATCTTCCCAAAAAGGTTTAATGCATCGTCCATGTGTCCAGCTTTGCAAAGACAATCAATTATCATATTATAAATTATGACATTGACGTCAATACGCATTTCCTCCATCTTCATGAGCAAATTCAAGGCCAAATCATAATCCCCTAACTTGCAAACCCCTTTTATAACAACGGCATATGTGACTATGTCGGGTTGACAATCCATAGTTAGCATCATCTCATCAAGCAAACTCAATGCTTCGGAAATTCTACTCTCAAGACAAAATCCGTTGATCAAAGTGTTGTATGTGACCACATTAGGCTGGTATCCCTCTTTCACCATTTGGTCAACCAAGCTTAACGCAGCGGAAATCTTGCCTTGGATACAGAACCCATGAACTAGGATGGTATATGTGACCACATTAGGCTTGTATCCCTCTTTCACCATTTGGTCAACCAAGCTTAACGCAACGGAAATCTTGCCATGGATACAAAGCCCATGAGCTAAGGTGTTGTATGTGATTACATTAGGCTTGTATCCCTCTTTCAACATTTGGTCAACCAAACTTAACGCATCGGAAATATTGCCTTGGATACAGAACCCATAAGCTAGGGTGTCGTATGTGACTACATCAGGCTTGTATCCGAGTTTCAAGATTTTTGCCACAACAGATAAGCCCAAAAACACTTGACGAGAGCGGCAGAAACAGTTGATCAGAATGTTAAAAGAGTAGATATCATGTGAAACCCCAAGCAATTCCATTCTCTTGGAGAGCGAAATCACAACATCATACCGTTTGGTCTTCATGATGATAGAAAATAATTTATTGAAATCAACGACGGGAGGTAAGGGACGAGACCGAACCATCTGACCGAACAAATCAATGGCATCCTCCACATGACAATCATGAAACCCACATCTCAATCTCTCTCTGTAAGACGTACTGCAATCTCTACCACCGGAAAAAGCCGATCTCCGACAACATAAAACAGATGAACAATGCAAGAAATTGTTCAGAGTACCTCTCTCTAGGGGATGAATATGAGCAAAACCTGAAGCAGAAGCAGATGCGAAAGCAGCCATTCTCCAGACCATTAGCGTCATCTTACGAACGAGAATGATGGAGAAACCCTGACCAAGTCACTGAAAGGAGACGAGAGAAATTTGAAGACTTGGAAATGTCTGATAAGAGTGTCGAAAAGGAGAAAAATAAGGTCCGAGGGGCTTTAACAAACCTAATGGCATTACCGTAATTATGATAAAAAGTTAGGGATAAACCTGTATTTTAAAGGGTTTTGTTCTCTATTCGCAGAGCTCCGGTACAAGAAAAGAAATGGAAACAATCGACCAAATGGTACTTTGATAAATGACGAAACCCAGAAAGCTTATCAGAATCAAAGCAGAGAAAGTGCGAAGCTTTTGGATAAAGAAGAAGAAATTCAGATCAGCTCACAAAAGGAGCCATAACTGAGAAGAAAGAGAAATGGGTGAATGGGGAAGAAGAAGAAAAAAGGCATACCCGGAAAGACCAGAGACAGAACACAAACCGATAAGATCAGCTTCCATGGCTTCCTCCCCATCTGCTTCTCTCTCTCTCTAACTCTCCTTTTCTCTGGTTTCTTGCTTCTCACTGATCCTTTCTCTCTCTAAAACACAAAATGTAACGTAGTTGATCGAATAAATTTTTAATCACATTAAAATATAAAGCGAGTAAAAGTTATAATAATATACAAACTTTATTATATAATATAAAACGAATGGATTTGAAATAAATTTAATCATAACTAGTTTTTTAAACCAAGAAAGGAAAAATAAAAAAAACAAAAGACAATTCATTGCTTCTGTGTTATAGTGATGATAATATCTTAAGTCACTCCAGCCACTGTTTCCTCCCCGATAGAGTTGATGATATACTTCCCATATCTGAGGAAATAAAGGTCAAACGTTATCCACCGGTTATTTGGAAAGACCGATATTATCTCTTAATTATCACCCGAAGATTATATGCATGTATATGTATATACTTATCTATGTGCTGTGGTGTGTGTGTATATATGGCTGTGAGAGATCAGAGAACTCAGAAACGACGTCATGAATGGTTGACACGGTGAAGGAAAACGACGACGTATCCATGGAAGAAGATCGTTGTGGAAACCCCTCTTCTCCGGCTGCTGTTTCTGATCTCGAGTCATCATCATCATCATCTCCTGTATCTCACACGATCCAATAACTCTTTTTTTTAAGTTCTATACATTTTGTGTATTACCCCATAACGCTCCATTCCCTAGACAAATCATAGTTTAAAATATGAATGTAAATACGTCAAATTAAATCTTTGTAATACCCCCAAAACCTTTTTTTTTTCTAAATTTTTTTTACGAAACATTTAAATTTTTTTTTGAGATTAAGGCCACATTACTGCAAAACATACTCTACAAGCCTGTTCAAATAGGAAAATACCAAAGGATATATAACTAGAAATCGCTCATTGCTCGTCAAATAAAATCAGGGAAAGA